AAAACAGAACCGAGGTTCCCAGTAGGATACCCTGGCACAGGAAAAGTAATCAGCTGACTTATTTTTGTGCAATGAAAGCAGAAAATTCTGAGTAAATGCCACCAAATGTTTCGTCACTAACTGGGACAGACCTATCTGATCTTTCTCTACCAGGACGTCCCTGTCGAGAATCTTTCTGAAGTAGATTCACTCTGCTGGGGACAGCAACCCTCAGCGGAACTGCCCTACACACCCCGGGTGCAGTGACTGCGGTTAGCTTTGTAAGGGAGTCGGAAGAACGTTCTTTTCAGTGGATATGACTTCAAACTCGCCTTGCCACACCTGGAAAGAAATCAGTCTACAGACGGCATCATAAAATATTTTTATGTGGTCTCAAATGTGTTGTGTCAGGAAGGTCTTGGAAAGCTTTCAGGGCTTCTATTTTTAGGGCTGAATAAGAATTCAGGGATACAGGGGAGTGAGAAGCCATCACTGTTGCTCTGGGTATTTTAAGATCTCTGGGAAAGATGACTCTTAGATGAATTTAATCGTCACGTTACTGCCCCAGGGTTTCTTTACTTCCCAACCTGTCATTTTCTTGGGAAGCCGCCCTAACCACCAGCACTTTGAGTGTCAGTCCCTGCCTATGACCACTAAGCATCTGTGTGCATTTCCCCCAGAGCCAAGCTTAGACATGGCAGCTTGGTGTCACCCCTGAGCCCAGCACAGCGGCTGGTACATTAATGGGGCCAAAAGAGAAACACCATAAAATAATAATGTAACAGGCATGGGAGGCAGGCAGGCAGGCAGGAAGTTCTCTCTCCAAACCAAAACCTCCTTAAGGGTGGCTGTTCTAGTCAGGAGGTCCAGAGACACAACAAATAGGATGGATGCATAGATAGATAGATAGATAGATAGATAGATAGATAGATAGATACAGGTGGACGGATGAATAGATGATAGATATGGATGGATGAATAGATAGATAGATTGATAGATAGATAGATAGAGAGACAGATAGATAGATAGATAGATAGAGACGGGTGGACAGATGAATAGATGATAGATATGGATGGATGAATAGATAGATAGATATTGCTGGCTGGCTGGATGGATGAATAGATAGATGATTGATAGATATAGATGGATGCATAGATAGATAGATGATAGAGATGGATAGATAGAGATGGATGGACGGATGAATAGATGATAGATGATAGATATGGATGGATGAATAGATAGATATAGAGATAGATGGACAAATGGATGTATAAATAGATAGATAGATAGACAGATATGGCTGGATGGATGGATAGACAGATATAGATAGAAATGGTTGAATGGATGGATGGATGGATGGATGGATGGCTAGATGGACAGAGAGACAGATAGAAATGGTTGAACAGATGGATGGATGGATGGCTAGACGGACAGACAGACAGATAGACAAATGGGTAGACAGAGATGGGTGGATGTATACATAGGTAAAAAGACAGATTACGAGGCATTAGTTCCAGCGATCATAGGGCTGAGAAGCCCCACCACCTGCTGTCTGCCAGCCGGAGTTTCAATAGAGCTAATGTGTAATTGAGAGTTTGAAGGCTTGAGAAGCCTGTCCTCGAGCCAATGGTGCAACCCCCAGTCCAAGGCCAGGAGGAGAAGAGATGGCATGTCTCAGTTTAAGCAGTTGAGGCAGAAAGAAAGAGGCAGACGTCTCCTTCCTCCTCCTTCTGTTCTACCCAGGCTGTCACCAGGCTGGATGCAGTGCCCCGTGTTGGAGAGGACGATTCACTTTTCCGAGTCCCCCAGCGTGAATGCTGACCGCATCTGGAAACACCTCACAGCCACACCCAGAAACAAGGTTTAATCTGGACACCCCGGGGTTCAGCCAAGTCAACACACAAAATTAGCCATACGGTAGTGTCCGTGTTTTCTGTTTGCTTCCTGTTTCTCCCCACATGGCATTTCACAGACGGACTGAACTCGCAGACGCCCGAGTTCTGCTGTGAAAGGGTGTCCACACATCCCAACGAAGGGAGTTGACACAGCAGGTGCTCAGGAAGGGCTGACTGAGCCAAGAGAAAGGAGGGAGAGGAGCAGCAGCTCCCAGTTCTGGGCCTGGTGGAGTTGAAGCCAAGGCCGAGAGCACTGCCAGGCACAGCCCTGAGAAGGGAGTGCGCTGGGTGAAGGCCCAGGCCTCCACACCAAAGGTGACCACCTTTGCTATTTTCTTTCTTTTTTTTTTTTGAGACGGAGTCTTGTTCTGTTACCAGGCTGGAGTGCAACGGTGTGATCTCGGCTCACCGCAACCTCTGCCTCCTGAGTTCAAGCAATTCTTCCACCTCAGCCTCCCGAGTAGCTGAGACCACAGGCACATGCCACCACACCTGGCTAATTTTTTTTTGTTTGTTTGTTTTGTTTTTGTTTGTTTTTTTTTTTTAGTAGACACAGGGTTTCACTGTGTTGGCCAGGATGGTCTCGATCTCTTGACCTCATGATCCACCCACCTCGGCCTCACAAAGTGCTGGGATTACAGGCGTGAGCCACCACGCCCGGCCCACTTTTGCTATTTTATTATTTTATTTTAACTAATTTAATGTATTTTTTATGAAGGGATAGAGTCTCACTATGTTGCCCAAGCCAGTCTTGAACTCCTGGCCTCAAGTGATCCTCTTTCCTCAGCCTCCCAGAGTGCTGGGAGTACAAGCATGAGCCACAGTGCTCAGCCTGCTGCAGTTTCTCATCTTTGTGGTAGAGAAGTGGTTTCTCCCAGCCCCAGATGTCTTGCTCTCCTTTCTCCAAGTGTCCAGGATGGACAGCACAAGCCTAGAGGCTTCCTCCAGGCTCGCACCTGGCTTTCCTCTCTGCAGTGTGCCATGGAAATATCAAGACTCATTCTTAATCAGAGCATCAGAAAGAGCTGGAAAAGTTGCTTTACTCTCCTTAAATTCAACACCCTTGGTATTTTGAGGTGACCTTTTTGACTTGAGGGGACACACATATCACCATTCACATGTGTCCCCCCCCATGGGCAAGGTGCCTTCTCTTCAAGGCAGTCACCTTTCCCTCCTCATTTTGAAGAAGAGAAAACAGTGGGATGATTTTCTTAAGACATCCTATATGCTTCTATGCAAGAGGATTCTGTGACAGATGGCAAAGAACCTGAAAGACCCTCTGAGAAAACAAGGGACTCTCCTCTGACCCACAGCGGAGTGCTTGTCCTCACCGCAGCCCCCAGAGCCAGGCTCCCCTGGCCCCTCCGCTCCCACTCAGAGCAACGTAACGCAGGGCTCCTTCCACTGCCAGCTGTCACGGATGATAAAGAAGACACCTGTCCACGTGCAGCAAACGCAGAGCAGACAGCTCGGCTCGCCCACAGAGGTGCCTGTTCCATGCCCCGAACGTCTCCCACGGCGGTGCTACCTGGGGCTCATGCTCGCGTTCCGTCCTCCTCGGCCTTTTACGCCATTGAGCATGAAATGTTCTGCTCTTGTAATAGTACATTCGGCAGGAGGTATAAACAAAGTCACAGACCATAAGCTACAAAAGAAATATCAAAAATACTGCTTGAGCTGTATCGGATGCTGATGGCGGCCTGCACATTTAGAAACCCAGGAATCTCAAATGCCACCTTCTGAATCCTCACCATAAATTTCATGCCTGCTCAGGGAATCTGCTGTAATTCACATCCTATGTCAAACAGCCCAGGCAAAAGGTTCCCCTTACGTGTAAACTCTCAGCACTGACAAAAGGCTTCCTGTGAGAGCCACGCTCCCATTTTTCTTTCAGATTTATGCCGACAGTCATGTCCTACTATTAAGCGGGCTATTTTACACCTTTATAGAGTAAACAGTTGGGCTGGCAACATATATACTTTTTCTCTTTCTTTTTTTTTTTTTGAGACAGAGTCTTGCTCTGTCGCCCAGGCTGGAGTACAATGGCGCTACCTCGGCTCACTGCAGCCTCTATCTCCTGGGGTCAAGCGATTTTCCTGCCTCAGCCTCTCAAGTAGCTGGGATTACAGGCATCTACACAATGCCCAGCTAATTTTTCTATTTTTTAGTAGAGATGAGATTTCACCATGTTGGCCAGGCTGGTCTGGAACTCCTGACCTCAGGTGATCCACCTGCCTCAGCCTCCCGAAGTGCTAGGATTACAGGCGTGAGCCACTGTGCCCAGCCTACACATTTTTTTTCATTTCAGCTTTCAGCCTTTGTGTGAGTGATGTTCACTCAAAATTATCTATCTCTGTAGGAAGAGGGAGACAGACTACTCCGGCTTGTTTCTTGGAAAGGAATTTTGACCTTTGCAGTCGAGTCTGGCCTGAGAAGGAGGGACTATTATCTGGGTCAAGAGAGGTTGTTTTGTGTCCCTCCTTCCTCCCACTATCTCTAGTTGCAGAAAAATGCTTGAAATATCTTTAAAAACATGGCATCATTTATTCTACAATTACATGTTAGTCTGGAAGTGAATATCCCTACGATAGGATACACGTCAGCTGATACTAACACATTCATAATTAGGCTTTTGTCAAAAAGATGGAAACATGGGATAAATGGATCTGCATCTAACCAAACGTACATCCTCCTGGACACTTTAAATCTTCTCTAAGCTATTTATAACACCGGATACAGTGTAAACGCTGCACAAATTGTTGTTATATTGTATTGCTTACGGAATTACAATAAGACAAAGGAGTCTGTACATACTCAGTACATATGCAACCAGCTATTTTTTCCTGGAATAGTTTTGATTTGGGGTTGAATCCATGGTGGGGAACCCCCAGATACGGAGGGCTGACAGTAGATATATAATGCTTACATGGTTTCCAAGGCACTTCCATGGGCATTATATACTTTTTCTCTTGGGGATTTGTAGAGTTAGCAATACTCAGTTTAAATAGTCTAAATAGCTCATTTGTTTATTTCAAAATATCCCTTTTATGGCCACTTTCTGTGGTGGAGCCAGCCCCTCATTCACCACGCCTCTCTTCTTGCACTCTAATTGCTAATGAGGTCATGAGTTGTCCCCTAAGCCAGCTGCGAGGGGACACAGGTGAGAAGCACGTCTGAGAGGCTGTGCCTTCTGAACATTTCGAGTAAGAGATGAGTGTTGGCCATGCGACGCAGAGCCGCACGTAAGTCTCCACAATTTTTAGTCCATTGTTCGCCCAGCATGAGACAGCTGAGTAAAATTCTCATAGCACCGTAGATAATTAGCAGTCCATGGCTTCTCCCAGAAAATCCTTTCTGTGTTCCTGGCCTTCATCCAAAAGTGTACCCTGTGGGGCTTCACCCCCACACACGCTAAATGAAAGGAAAGTGGAAGCCGGCCTCATCATCTCCCGGCTGGCCGGCCAACCCTGGTAGTTCCAACATCAAAGGGAAGTCGTGTGGAGCAGAGGGGGAGCAGGGCCATCGGCTCCGGGGGCCGGTCTCATCAAACATTCCAGATTAAAACATGGGTTTCTTCAGTCACCATGGATCCAGTGGGCTGTACAGAGCATCCATCACCACTGACCAAGTGATTTGTTGTTTTTAATTAAATCCAGTCACAGTTATTTCCACTTTGCATGATCTTGAATACTGCGGTGTTTTTGGAGACGAATCTAGCTTCAGCGAAGCAATGTGCAAAGTTCCTTTTTTATTAAATTTAAATTAGTTGGAGAGCTTAAATAAATCAGCACTGAGAAGAAGGGTGAGCGAATATTATCAGCTCAATAAATCCTCCCCTGTGCGTTGAAAAAGATAAGCTTGTATAAGCTGCTGGGCCGCAAGGCAGAGTTGCAGTTACAGCTACTGGAAGTACTGGGGGGAATAACTGACAGGAAAGCATCAGATACAAAGGGAACGTTTCTTTTGTATTTTCTTTTTGAGGGTTCTGTGCTGATGCACTCCTTCTGCTTCTTGCTCTGACCTCACTGAGAGAGCGCTGAAACTCGCCGATATCATCACAGACATCATGTGGCAAAGTGACCAAGTCAAGGAAAAACTAGAAAAAGAAGATGACGAAAGAGGTCGCGAGTGGGTTTTAAACCCTGATACAGCACTACATGCTTTATTTCCGCATAACTGAAAGTTTTAAAAATGCGTTTCCCTTCCCGAAACCAGGAAGGGAAAACACAGCCAGCCTTGGTTTTAATAAATGGACACTTTAATAAATTGCATGAGCTTAAATAACATAAGCTTTCTTAGTCATGATGAGTTAGTGCCCTAACGGTTTCGTTAAGCACAACACGTTGTCAGCTTTCTTACAAACATCCTAAATTATCCTTAAAATTCTCATAATGCTGACCGGGCATGCTGGCTCACGTCTATAATCCCAATGCTTTGGAAGGCTGACACAGGGAAATTTCTTGAGGCCAGGAGTTCAAGACCGGCCTGGGAAATATAACAATACTCCATCTCTACAAAAAATAAAATAAAACAATTAGCCATTCATGGCGGCACACACCTGCAGTTCTAGCTTGAGCTCGGGAGTTCGAGGCTGCAGTAAGCTATGATTGCACCACTGCACTCCAGCCTGGGAGGCAGAGAGAAATGCTGACTTTAAAAATCCACAATGCTGGCTCATGCCACCTCACCCCGCCAGCACTGTGGAGTTTTAATCCCAGCACTTTGGGAGGCTGAGGCAGGGGGATTGCTTGAGTTCAGGATTTCAGGAGTAGCCTGGGCAACATGGAAGAACCCTGTCTCTACTAAAAATACAGAAAAAAAGAGCTGCGTGTGGTATGCATGCCTGTAGTTTCAGCTGTTAGGGACTCTAAGGGGGGAGAATCCTCTGAGCCTGGGAGTCAAGGCTGCATTGAGCCAAGATCTCACCACTGCACTCCAGCCTGGACAACCAGAGTGAGACTCTGTCTCAAAAAAAAAAAATTCATAATGCTGCCTACAGCCTTTCTTTATTCTACACACACACACACACACACACACACACACACACACACGGAACAGTTCTCCCACGATTGCAGGTGCTTACATATTCAGCCACAGGGATAAAACAGCACATGCTCCCTTCGGCTTTCTTACCTCCTGTCACCTTTAGTGGACTGTGGCCATTAAACACTTGCCATGTTCTCACGTCACATTGGATGTAAGAAGTAGCAGGAACATCAGAAATGACATAATCTAATTATTTTAAGGTGAGAGAACTGGGAAGGAGAGCGGCAGACCACTCACTTGTCAGACCGCGGGACCGTCAGGGATTGCACCAAGAACCACGTCACTTGTCTTCCGAGTCAATGTGCTTTCCGTTACTGCAAATTATCTCTTTGTTACAGATGGCTTATTTAACCAGCCTGAAAGTGAACAGAGAGGAGACAACAGGCTCCTCTCTAATTCTTTGTATTCAGGGCACATTTGTGATTGGGAAGAGGGCGAGGGTCAGAGATCCAGGATTTGAGCATAGTGAACTGGAAAGAGGATCCGATGAGGAAGAACCCTTCCTTCAAGATTCAATTCTGAGATTAACTAGCTGTGGCCCTGCATAAGTCATTTACCCTCATTGGGTATCAAGTTCTTCATTTAAAGAAGGGGTTTGGATTAGCAGGTGATCTGTTGTATCGCAGTGATTGTCATTTGATCAGTGATTGACTACAACTCTTTTTTTTTTTTTTTGAGATGGAGTTTCGCTCTTGTTACCCAGGCTGGAGTGCAATGGCGCGATCTTGGCTCACCGCAACCTCCACCTCCTGGGTTCAGGCAATTCTCCCGCCTCAGCCTCCTGAGTAGCTGGGACTACAGGCACGCGCCACCATGCCCAGCTAATTTTTTGTATTTTTAGTAGAGACGGGGTTTCACCATGTTGACCAGGATGGTCTCGATCTCTTGACCTTGTAATCCACCCGCCTTGGCCTCCCAAAGTGCTGGGATTACAGGCGTGAGCCACCGTGCCTGGCCTGACTACAACTCTTAATCCCATAAAATACCAGAACAATTATGTTATCGTGACAAGGTGCCATGCGTTCCAGAGCCTGTGTTAGTCAAATGGAATCTCACAAAAGTATTAATGTCATGGTGTCACAGTTGTTCGCTGAAATTGCTCCAAACATATGAAACACTGGATTTCTTTTTCTTTTTCTTTTTTTTTTTTTTTGAGACAGAGTCTCGCTCTGTCACCAGGCAGGAGTGCAGTGGCACAGCCTTGGCTCACTGCAACCTCCATCTCCCAGGTTCAAGCAATTCTTCTGCCTCAGCCTCTTGAGTAGCTGGGATTACAGGTGCGTGCCACCATGCTTAGCTAATTTCTATATTTTTAGTAGAGACGGGGTTTCACCATATTGGCGAGGCTGGTCTGGAACTCTTGACCTCGTGATCCACCCGCCTTGTCCTCCCAAAGTGCTGGGATTACAGGCGTGAACCGCCGCGCCCAGCGAAACACCAGATTCCTTTAAGTGGCCTGTTGTTTGCTTTGGTCTTGCTGGCATCTTCGGCTCTTCATGCATGACTGTAACTGTGTCCACTTAAATCATTAATGATCAGTTGCAAATACATGGCACTGGAGTGAAGAGACAGCCCAGTCACTTTCCTTTACAAAGAAGTGATTGGCAGACTCACTTTCCACTATAAACAATACAGAAATGGACAAAATACATGAAGCAATGTTTTCAGGTGTTGGAGAGTACGTCGTGTGAAGCTGTGATCCTTGAGAAAGGGGAAGTACACGGAGCCGCCCACGTTCATCCAGCTTTCTGCCGAAGGGCACGCTCCGAGACAGGGACGGAGCCCAAAGAGAAGGCCGAGTTCTAAGCTGCTAAGGACAGAATTTGCAGAGCAAGACATAGGCGAAGACACAGCCTCACAGACGGAAATTATTCTGTCTACATGCTGATCCCCTGACACTTTTGGCAAAATACGAAGCTGTTTCTGCATAGGCTGAAATTCTGGGAGGTCCATCAGAGAATAGCCGACTCGGGGTCATGAGCCGAATGGAGACTTCTGGAGCAGTGAGACCCTACTGCATACCCCAAGCATTTCAGTGAGATCCCAAACACTTCACTGAGGTGAAGTAGCTGAGGCAATGCAGCGTTACTGTCGCCCTGTGGGTCTCGCCTGGGAGCCACTGTATCTCCCAGAGGACCAATAGCAATGTTTAGTTATTTTTGGTTGCGGCAACTGTGAGGATGCTACTCATACCTCAGGGGGAGAGGCTAGGCACGCGGCTGAACACCCTGCAGTGCGCAGCTCAGCCCCTCAGCACAGCAGCCGCCCTCCGACGCTCAGGAGAGTCACTGCTGCAGATACAGCCAGAACCCAGAACTCAGCAGAATGTCCGGCCTTCAATCGGTATTTATAGAATGGGATGGGCATAGTGGCTCATGCCTATAATCCCAGCACCTGGGGAAGCTGAGGCAGGAGGGTCACTTGAGCCCAGGAATTTGAGGTTGCAGTGAGCTATAATTACACCACTGCACTCCAGCCTGGGCGACAGAGCGAGACCCTATTTAAAAAAAAAAAACACACACACACACACACGCACGCACACACACACACACAGACACACATACATACATACATACATAAAATAAGACATAAATATTCTTAAAGAAAGGATTGGGGACAAGCACCCTCTTCCTTTTGAGCATGGTGGCCAGTGACACTTGAGGCACGGTGTCCAGCTCAGAAAAGGAGCTACAGAATGTCAGCCAGGGGCTGCACTCCTGCAGGTCCGACAATGCCAGGGAAGGAGATAGGTCTTCGAGGCCAGAATCTGTGGAGGGAGAAGGAGGAACTACCTCTGCAGAAACTCAAGGCAGGAACAATGTGCTTGAATTGGAACGAAAGAAAGCCTCCCCCTATTTTAAATCCAACTTGATCCCTGGTCAAGATGGGGAAAGACACAGAGCTGGGGAGTCAGTGGCAACCAGGCCAACAATTTGTGACATTTTCTCTTCTTCCGGGGTAAAAATTACACAAATAAAAATGAGAAGATAATAAAGAGAATGTTGCTTCCATTCAGCTGCACCTACTTCTTAATCTTTGAACTAAACCAAGTAAAAAAAATGAGAGACTCCCCTGTTGTTCTCCAGAGCAAGCTGAGTGATATACGCAGATGTCTGCCATGAAATTGGATAAGGCCAGGAAGTGCCTTTTTCTCGTCTGGAGGTCAAAATAGACATTTCTCTCTCCACAGATGGGAGCAACCTTCGACCAAATTTGCCAGCCGTCACACTTCGACACGCAAACGTTCTGTCATCCATGAATGCATCTCTCATTTTAGAAGGTTTATGCACTTCGGAAAAAGTAACATACGCATTTATAATGACTGACAGCTCAGTTTGGTAAATTATATGCTAAAGTGTGAGAAACACAATACTTCTGTCTTTAAAAGTACCATTAGCATATTTTTATCATCCTACCTCTCTTTTTTTTTTTTTTGTAAGAGATTTTGCTTGAGAGTTTGGAATACATAGAGCTTTGTGAAGATCATCTATTCTCTGAGACTGTCACAAAGTGTCCTATTCTGCCAGGCTCTCTGACTCACCAGCAATTCAAGAGCTCACAAAGACAGAAGACAAGGCTGACACGGGTCTGACCCAGGACTCAGCACCCACTGCTTTGTTCTACAGAGGGACAGAGAGATGTTTTCCTTTCCAGTACGCACGTCACACGCACATACACACACCCACGCAGAGACGAAAGATGCCGCAAGAGTAGATTAGAATCCACGCTACCATGTCCCTGAAGCAAACAGGGTCAAGAGAGGTGGGCTCTAACCTTGCTTAGGGTAATTCAGATGGGTTTTGACTAAAGGAACGCGATTGGTAAATAAGTACTCATGGTCCCATTTGATTCTGTGATTCTGCGCTGTCGGATAAAATGCAGGCCACCCAGTTAACTAATTAATACTTGAATATTTGCAGTATTTGAGACATCTGTATGCTAAAACACTATTTGCTGTTTATCTGAAATTCGAATTTAACAAGTGTCCTGCATTTCTTTTACTGTGAAATCCGGCAGCCCTAGAGTAAAAATGTGCTAAAGAAACTCTTTACTGGAGCCTTGACTCACCCACGTTGGCCTCTTCTTCTCTGGAGCCTTCAGCTGACCTGACGTCAGTGGGCTTAGCCACAGCTGTCCCCGGGGCGGGCAGTGAAGAGAATCCATGAGGGTGAATGAGTCCTCAGGGGCCACGGGGCCACAGTGGCCGCAGCCAGCTCTGC